CGACGCGGGCGGCCCCGCGCCGGGCATCGCCGGGCTCCAGAGCTGGCCGGAGCGGGTTCTGCTCCGCAGTGTCACCGGCGGTGCGAAGAGCCGGTGTTCTCGGTGGCACAGGAACTGATGTGCCTCATCGCGTCTAACAGACGGTTCGCAGGAACAACTGCGGCGTGCACGGACCGTTCAGTGTCGCTGCGGTTGAGTCAGAGGGAAAGGGAACGTGGAGGGTGAAGGCCTCACAAAATCGTTGTGATTGTGATTAATATGAAACTTATGAGCATCATCCTCCTCCATTAGTGACTGATTCCCTAGAAGATGTAGGAGTCCTGAGCAGCTCAGTAAGCTTTGAAGAATGGTGAATGTGTTTCCATTACTCCTCTAACACTGTTGGACACTTCGTTTCCAGCTTTGTTAAGGAATAAACTGTAAAGCTAAAGTTGTTCGTGGTGTCCAGCTCTATATGAGGAGCCTTGTCTGCTGTCTCAAAGCTCTGAGCGTCACTTTGAACGACTCGGCATCTCATCAGGGAGTGCGGTGAACATGGAGAAACTGCTGGTTGGTTTTTTTCCTCTTTCCCAGTGACTATCACAAGAAACAGAATGCCCTCAGAGCGCTTCAAAAGAAAGCTCTGGACAAGAATCCTGATGAGTTCTACTTTAAAATGATACGTGCAAACCTCCAGGTGAGAAACTAAATTGCCTTCAAGCAGAGTTACACTGGGTTGCTCGTAACATAAGTTTTTTTCCTACCTTGTTTTGCTTTTAATTTACGAATTAGTAAATGAAGTAATTAAATTAGTAAATTAGTAAATGGCAGGCTTGGTTTGATGCCTGTGGAAGGCTTTGAAGAAAATGAGGGGCAAAGGACAAGAAAGTTCTTTTGCTTTTATTCTTAGGACCCGTAGTACACTATGACTGGAATGGTGTATGTAAGTGCTATGTTCCGTCTGGTTTTAGGATGGAGTTCATAAAATAAAGCAGCCGAAGGATGAAGTGACTCCTGAACAGATGAAATTGATGAGGACGCAGGATATTAAATACGTGGAAATGAAAAGAGTGGCAGAAGCCAAGGTAATATTTTTATTTTTTTAGTGTTTTCCAGTTTGCTCAGAATCGTTTTTTATTGTGGTTTGTTGTTGGCTGTTGTGTTTGTTTTTAGTGAAATCTGATTTGTGTAATATTGGAAATGATGGCTGGAAATGTCAGTGGAGCTCTGCATGTAGAATCCAAAGGGATACTGAATAATAAAAACGATACTATGCATTATTGTAAACCATGGCAATTCCTTCTGTGCGTTTCAGACATTAAACATGTATTCTTGCTTCTCATATTTATAAAGAATTGAGGTTTATTGATACTGAAGTGGGTTGTTTGAATATGGTAGGCAGGCAATCAGCAGAAATACGAACCACTTTTAAAAATACTTTATGCTCTTGATGTTGATCCACACACCATCACTGCAGATTCAGAATTTAGAGAAAGTCAGCTTTGACTTTTCCTTCATACTTATGCTGGTGATTTCATGGTGATCACTCCTACTTTGCCATACAGATAAGTTACTGTTTTGAAACTCGATCTGTACATACTTGGCCTGGGTAATACTGGAACTTATTGTGAACATCTGCTCGAAAAGGTTATGAAGACATGACGTAACTATAGACTAGATATATTTTCAGAGATTAAACCAACAGGAAGGAAGAGCTAGATGATCGCATGCTTGAGAAACGAACAGGACTTTACTTCAGGGAGACGTTAGGAGTTATTATTTACCTTGTTACGGATGTTTGGCAAAACAGATTGACTGCTCTTTCCTGCAGAAAATCGAGCGGCTGAAGTCGGAGCTCCATCTTCTGGATGCTGAGGGGAAGAGTCCCAACAAGCACGTGTTCTTCTTGGATACCAAAAAAGAAGGCAATATTTAAATAGGTTTTATCAGAAAACTTGTTCTGTGATCATTAACTAGATGATCTTTAAGGTCCCTTCCAACCTCAACCATACTGTGTTTGCGTGTAGGCTGTTTAAAATGGGGTGGTGCTTTCTTTATGCTGTTACCCTAGAAAAAGGGGTTATTTATTTCTGGACTAACAATTCAGGTTCTGTAGAAATCTCTTTTGATCACTAGATAAGACCTCAGTTCTGCAGGAACTCTGTTGCTGCATGTTCGGAAGGTTTGCTGAGCATTAGTCCAAGAAGTCCATGTGACTTTATTCCTAAATTTCTTTTTGTTTCTAGTTCAGGAGTTTGATATTGCAACTCATCTGGATACTGTTCCGGAGCTCGTCAACAGAGTGTACAACCGACCAACCATTGCAACACTGCAGAAAGAGACACTGAAAGGAGCCACTGATCCTGTCCACTTAAAGGTGCTGCCACTGTTTGTGCTGTAGTTTTATTCATGTTTTACATCTGATGTATAATGAACACTAACGAGGATTTGCTGGACTGTGATGGAGGAGAACAAAGTTGGTCTGGTGTCTTAAAAATTTGTATTGGTGACACAAGGCTGTGCTGGATGTCACTTCATCATCAGGTGCCTACAGTCCAGTCTTTTCCTGGACTGACACAGAGAATGTGTTCAGTTGTATCCCAATCCACTGTGGATTATGGGCCAGAATGCAACAGTATAGCTCTGCTTAGGCAGTTTCCTTGACAAAATTGATATATTTCTCCTCCATTACACAGTGTACACCTAGGACTATATTTTCATTAGATTGCTGCAGTTTTAAGTCTGATTTTTTTGCAGCACCCACTGTTAAGTCTCCCCTTACACCTCCCCAAAAACCCTTGCACCCCTGAATAGGGATGTTAAGCAGCTTATTCCAACAGATATCTGTTGTTGGGTTTCTGATCTTAGGGTGTTTTTCATTTAGGTTCTGAGCCTGAATTGGCTTGAGATTCAGGATTTGTCCCCCCTTTTCTTCATAAAGACATTTAAGCTATAGTCTTGCTTCCTGGCTTTCCTAATTTAGTGTGTTTCATGATTCTTCAGGATACATTGCTTATGTAATCAACTTTGATTCTCATGTTTTAATATCACAGCACTTCTGTCCTAGAAGTAGCTACGCATGGCTTTAACACTGTAAATGCTGCTTAATTATATGTATTGGGCAATCCTGTGAGCTTGAATTGGTATGTGTAAGGTAAAAATCAAGTTGTCTAACATCACACCGATTGGTAAATTTGTAACCTGTTTTTTTCTGAATGAGATGTCAGATAACAAACACCCTGTGGTCCCTTTCTTCTTGCCAGCTTTCTCAGTTTGGCTTGTCAGTAAAGCCGTTGGACAAGTTGTAGACTGACAAGTTTTCTACTCTAAATGTCTGAGTCATATTTTAAGCATGTTGGGATCTGTTCTCCTTAATTTAATTACTTAAATCACACCTGCAGTAATATCATTTTTGTATCTGGGAAAGCCATCCACTCTTAGCAGGTAAACGTGACCAAACAAGTTGCATTTTGAGAGGCCTCTGTGCAATTTCTAAGCACTTCAGGAATTGGTCTCTGGCCTGTCTCTTTTTGGGTTTTTTCCCCCCTCATCTGGATAAACTGGGTTTTCGTTAGGGAGTTAAATGTTCTCTTGCACTCAACACTGACATTCAGAGGATTTAGAGCAATGAACTTCAAGCCATCAACTGAACAAGATTACACAGCATCTAACCCAAGTTAGAAGAGGTTTGGGTTTTTTTATGTTTGAATTTAGGAGATAAAAAGAAGAACGAAGAATTTAAGTCCTAGCTAGGAAACCTTTTGTATGAGAATCAAGATGTTAAAATGGTTCTGTGGAGCCCAGCCACAGAATTGGAGCTGCGTTCTTTAATGAGATTAGGATTTAAAAATGAGAACAGTGTTTGTGAGGTCCAAGTGCCTCCGAATAGGTCTGTCACAGACAATAGTGTCTTGTTCCTCTCTGTATTCAAACAGCTGCTTTTTTTTTTTTCCCTCCAGAAATTAGCCCAGCAAAGGAAGAATCAGTATGACCTCCTGAAGCAGCGCATTGAGAGGGAAAAGACCATGTTTGTCGTCTCGCAGAAAATCCAGACACGTAAAGATCTTCTGGTGAGGGATTTAGTTTTGGTTCTTTGAATTTGTTGAGGTCATTAAGTCTAGTTTTGTACGTACATACTTCTTCACTCTCATTTTATACTGACACTTCCAGATAACTCCTAAAAATAAGCAGATTTTAATATGGAAGTAGCAAGGAGATGAAGCATCCCGGTTGTGCTGTGGTTGCTAAATTATATCTGCTAGTCCAGGTCGTAGCGTGTCAGCAAGGACAAAGACTGAGCTTGGAAAGGTCTTTTCCAAAATTCCGTTGCCACCTCTCCAATACTGAATTAATACTTTCAAATAGCAGAGGCAAGGAACCGTTTCTGGAGGTTACAAGAAGATCTTAAAGATCCCACTGACCAAACAAAAGGCGGAAAGAGGCGGAAAACCTCTTTGGAAAATGGAAAGTGACCATTTTCCTCTAATGTCTCCAGACATAGACTTTCTTATTTATATGAGGGTGGGTTTGTTCTGGTTTTTTTTTCCCTTCTTGCATGCCAGCAAATATTTTTTTCTCCTTTTTTTTCTTCCCAGGATAAAACTCATAAAGTGAAGGTGAAGAAAGAGACAACAAATGGTCCAGCTATATACAAATTCAAGTATCAGCGGAAACGTTAGCCACGCCGTTAAGTAATTGTTGCTGTCTTTGCTTAGAAAGAGGGAGGTTTCTCCTGATGAAGGAGGGCTGGTACAGCATATCAGTTTGTTTTTCACTGCAGCCCAGCACTTTGTTAAAACAAATTACTGTGGGCCTGCGCTAGCCATAAATATATTGTATCTAATTAATTGATTAATAAATCAGACAGTTTGTTCCCTTGGTATTTACAGTGGGAAGCCACAAGAGGTGCCTGAATGTCCTAGTAATACACACCATAAACAACCCTTGAAAAGTCAAGGTCAGAATTAGAAAGGCTGGGTTGCACGGGGACAGAAACGCAACCTGCCTGGACTTGTTCCTGTGTGATCTGCTCTGGGTGATCCTGCTCTGGCAGGGGGGTTGGACTAGATGATCTCTAGAGGTCCCTTCCAACCCCTTCCACTCTGTGACTCTGGGATTGTTCAGTTCAGCCCTGTGGCCGGTGACCGTGACACGTCCAAAACTGCACGAGATTTCAGGTCAGTTTTTTTAGCTGTCTTTTCAAGCAGGTTAAAGTTGAATTATTATCTTACTAATCACTCACCACCACCCCCAAATCCCTCTAATTTTCCCATTCTGCTTTATCTGCGCAAAGTACGCAAGAGGTGAAAGGCATTGCTAAGGGCGCATTGCTAAATTCAGGCACTGTATTAGCCAAAGACTGTTCTGGAATGGTGCTAGAAGCAGGAAGTGTTCCTTCCCCTGTATAGAAAAGGAGAAAACCCTCAACCTTCACGAATAATTTCCACAGCTGAGAAGCTGCATGCTGATTCTCTCTTCTGCTACACAACGGGGCAGTACCCATGCCATGCCGAGCTTCCAGCGTCGCCTGCTAAGTCTGAACAGAGGTGATGATAGCGAAATTCACGTCTAGGGAGAGACAATACCACAGCCAAATGTGGGACAAGAGTTTGTCCTCTTTGTTTACATTATGCTTGTTGCAATGCTGGGAGCTGGAAGGGGGTTTCGACCGAGAACAATGAAGACACATCCTCTGGTGTCCTGGAGCAAAAAAATAAGAGAGCCGTAAACATTCCTTTTCTTATCTCGCTTGTACTGTGTCTGCCAGTAATAAGCACATGCCCATGCAGGATGATAAAACAAAACAAAAAGAGATGCTCTTCTCAAGCAATTCCCACTTTGGGAGTTTTCCTAGCTTCTCTTGGATGAAACGCGACTTTTTAACATGCTGACGTGCAGCTTCAGGTAGTGTTTCTGCCATTGTAAAGCTTCCCAGGTTGGCAGCAATTATGGGATGAATTTTTTTTTTCCCCGGGAAGCATGAAGGGAGTCACTATGCTCTTAAAATCAAGGATATTCTCACGAGGAAGGCGAAGGTCTGTGATTGCAGTTGAGGCCACGCTATAAACCAAGCCAGGAGGGAGAAGAAATCAGGCACGCTGCATGGGAGAAAGCACCTTTTCCTTCTTCCCGAGAAGACACACGCACGACGCTTTTTCCCTGTGAAAAATTCGTGGCAGAAACGGCAAGAAGCAGCCGTGAGAGACACCCCCTGACCCCCCTTTTCCCTCGGTCCTCCGGGGAGGCCGCTGGGCGGCAGGGGGCAGTAGCGCCCCGCGGCGGG